ANGACANATTTGANNTTTGGTTTNATGAATAGTGGCACGCTTGTAAACAATTTTAAAGTGTGGCATTTTTGTAAAGTGGTATATGAGATGTGACATTTTTTAAAATTTCTCAAAAATGTTTTGACCCCTAACAAACCCTAAACCCTCAAAAATAAACCCTAATACAACATAGTTAACTCAAATATAAATAATATAATTAATAAATATTTTTGAAAATGTGGCATTTTGTAAAGTGGCATTTCAAAAGTGGTTTTTTTCAAACAATTTAAAAAAATTAAGAACTAAGAGGAATGTGATATTGCTCATTATTTCTTTCATTTTTGACAGTCATCAATTTTGTTTTTGGTCACAAATGTTTTCATAGATTGCTTACTCTCCATTAAAGGAGAAAATGTTTACAACCGATACAAACAACGCCATCAAGGCTAACGATAACAGTGCTACAAAAGCAAAACATAAATCATTAAGAAAATAGATAGATATGAGTCACACGTTTGAACAACTAAAGCCGTGGAAGAACTCGACGCCATAGTTGCTAAAAGGTAAGACGACGCTTCGGGAATCAAATAGCACACTAGGTGATCTAATGTCCGAGATTGAAACTGCAACTAGGGCAACATTAACAATCGAGATGTAGGCTACAAATGCAGAGGAAGACTAATTTGTTGAGCCGTTAAACAAGGTGATACTCGAAGCAATTTTAAAGTTCGACACAAAGATACCTACATTGAAACCACTCACCAGAAATGGAAACATTAGTAGGAAAGAGAGCTCCGTAACCGAGCGAATATGGCAACAAATGCATATACGAACAAAGTTCTTCAAAATCAGAGAACATAACCTGCATATAGCAGTAATGGGTCGCACAAATGCGAGAGATATATCAACCAAAGAGCCTAGATAAGCGCTAGTAGAGCCCTCAATATGAGGTATAATATCGAATTCCACCGTCTGGGAGAATAGAAAATCATGGCCAATAACAGAAATATCAATCCAGGGGAATCAAACAACATAAGTTCGGTCCCTACAACTACAAGACAAAATCTTGCTAGCAAGTTTATGTTAGTCGAGAAGCAAAAGTGAATCATGCTGATAACACTATCAATGAAAGGTCGAATGATTCTGATGGATAAATTTGGAGAGTCCACAAGTGGGAACTGAAAAAGTGGTTCACAATTCATACAAGAGGGGCTGTCTAAACACTTCTCATTAACAAATTTATAGTATCGGCCACAAGCATGAGATGAAGAGCATGAAGAGCAAGGATTGAACCTGGTTGAACGATGCTTACTGTGAGACTTTAGGGAAACACCAAATCGGGACATGGATTGCACACATAGCAAAAG